ATCTTGCACCTAACCACGTCACATTTCTCTTCTCCGGGGGAGCTTTTCCCATTGCTACCCTCTCCCAGGTGGCTAGTGTGTTAGACAATATTCTTGTTTATGAACATTTACTGCCCCCTCCCGAGGAAGGATTACTATTTTCCCGTCCTATGGGTGTCAGTCTTGCCCATGTGACTTGCTTTGCCCAATTAACCATCAGCAGAAATAATGAGTATTGTTCCTGCATATGAATCAGGGCATGGTTTGCCTGTTAATGGTCCAGAGAGAGGCTGCTGCAGCATCCTGGGTCCTGGCTGGGTGATGAAGAAAGCTGTGGTAGACACATGATGGACTTTTAGCGGGAATGAGAAATAAATCTTAGTTGTTGTAAGCCATGGGGATTTGAGGGGCTTATTTGTTACTGAGCATAACCCAGGTCATTCTGACACAGTTAGCTGCTTCCTGTACACACTTTTGTACATGACTCTATTGTTACATCTCACACAACACATTTTGATTTAACTGTTCACACCTCTATTTCTCCTGCCAGACAATGTCCTCTTAGGGATTATGTCTTATTTGTGTGCCATATTTAACTCAAGGCCTGTCACATCATCAAAACTCAAAAAGAGTTATTTGAATGAATGATCAGTGGACAAATAACTATCAAGTGTCTTCATGGTTTGCTGCCTGCAAGAACCATGTTCAATGTCAAATGGCTTTTAATATCTCAATGTCATCATCCAAATCTCTTGACCCCAGACCCAGTGAGGCAGATGTTTTCTTATGATGCCAAATCCAGACAAAATAAAACATGGAACTTGTGTCAAATTTTTGAAAAAGGGAGAGCTCTTGAAATCCATGTGTTTGAATCCCAGCTCTGTTGCTTACAAACTATAGACAAATATCTAATTTTAAATTTATAAAATGGGAGTAGTAATAATTGCTTCTCAGGATTGTTGTGAAGATCACATGCCAAGTGCTCAACACGACTTGGGTCATTAGGACATTGTGGTTGATATATGTCTCTTTTGGTGGTCCTGCATTTACCCCTCCTTTCTGTGTATGTGGGGGTCCCTTCTTTGAGTATGGTAATGGTGGGGGCACTTTAGGACCTGGGAAAATCAAAGGGAGGAGATCCGCCCTGTCTCCACTGTTGGATCCAGGCAGGCCAACCAGATGCACACACCTGATTTCATCAAGTGATACAAACATAAGAGAGCGCATTCTCTCAGGGTACTTGAGGTAGGGTCTGATGGTGGCAAGGAGGCTTAAGGAAAAGGGGGCAACCTTGGCTAGGCTTGTCCATGTAAAAGATGCCTGCTGTGCTTCCTACTTACCGAACTTCCGGAACTGGCTTGGTTCTTGCCTGACTTCCAAGTCTGATTTCCAACCCTTGATATCCTCATAATAAAGTGCTTGTAAAAAAAATTCTTAAGATAGCCAGATTCATTTAGGTTGCTTGATCCCTTTCTCATTTTTCTCTTCCACCTCTCCACTTTGATTTCTATGAATTGCTAGAATCTTTCTTTCTCTTGGCCTAGTGTTCTTCTGCGAAGTGTCTAAATTGTGTTCCTTCTCAGATTTTTAGCACCAAAGTGTGCTGATTATAATCTAAATGATGTCTTCTGGCAGTTGTGAGCTCTGCCTGAAACTTATAAAAATGAATGAATGTTCTTTCATGAAAAATACCTGCCAGACCCAAACTCTTCCCCTCCCTCCCCCAAAGTGCACACGCATTTAGACCAGTATTATTATCATCTATTCGTTTTGGGATCTTCTTGGTTCTCTAACATAGCTACTTTCTTGCTCTCTCTTTTTTTTCTTCTGAGTATTTACTTTGTGCCAGGCACTGTGTCAAATGTTTTTCTAACTCTGGCAGAGCTTGCTGGCTGCCTACCCAATTTCATTCTCTCCCTTTTCTTTGATAACAGAACCCCAAAGTGTCCAGGTTAACATGTGTGCATGTGACACACACACATGTGGACACACACACACAATTTCCCAGTTTCTCTTGCAGAGGGAGTGTCTATCAAATTTTACATAGAAGTTGTTGGATAAGGCTTCCAAGAAAGCTATTTTAAGGACCTGACTCAGCTACCAGGTGCTACTTTTGCCCTTTCCCCTTTCCTTCTCCTTATTTGGACACGAGTCAGTGTGGAGGCTGGCAGCCATTTTGCGGCTATGAGGAAGTCCTGAGGCTGAAAGCCTGTATTAAGGAAGCTGGAGCAGAAAATTATAAGGCTTCTAGGTCCCTGATGAAAACATGGAGCTGCAATACCAACTATAGACCATCCTACCTCCACCACCTTCATGTTAAAGGAGGAAGAAAATAATCTAATTTATTTATATCACTGCTAATTTGGGTCTCTGCAACTAGCACCTGAAAGCACTTCTTTACCAATACATAGATTATCATGCAAAAATCCAATAGGGTTTGTACTATGAATCCCATTTTACAGATGTGGAGCCTTAGGCTGGTTGTACAGACTGCTCAAGTTACTCATTCATTGGACAGTATTGGATTGACCCAGTATTGGATCCTCATTGACCCAGTATCAGCTGGGTCAGGATTTGAATGCAGTGTTTGTCTGACAACAAAGACAAAGGATTCCTAATCATTACATTTTACTGCCTCTGAATTGAACATGCCACTGGAATTCTAGACCAACACAATTTGTGGGCCTCCTGGGGTAGGTGTGACTACTGGAAATTTTCTTACTGGTCTAGATGTGCAGGATCTTCTCTTTCACATTCTGTTGAGCAAAAGGCATGTTTTTCAGTTTTGAATAAATTAGCCCAATGGCCAACTCTGCATGGAGAGATACTTCCTTTTTCTTTCTCTGAATATAAATTCCTAATTCCTTGGAGGAATCTAGGGGATTACTAGAATCTAGGAATCTAGGGGAATCTGTTGTTGAGTCGAAATCAGCTTCCAGTAAAGTGTGTGTAATATAGTAGGCACTCAACAAATGTTGAACGGGTTTATGAATTAATGAATAATGAATGAATGAATTAATGAATGCTGTTGTCACAGCAGTCCTTTCTGGGACACTGATCCCCAAGTTCTTTCTAAGAGCCATTTTTGTGTCCTGCCTTGTTATGAAAATTAGAAGCTGCTCTGTGAGGGAACCATGGCTGTCTGAGTACAGTCCAGTTTTCTGCAACACCAACTGGCCTATCTTTGTCCTCTCTAAGGACCCATTTTTCCGAAAGGCTTTGGTGAAAACTTTTAGTACAGATTATGGAAGTGTCTTTGCTAATCAATGTAAGCCAGTATAGCAACTGGGCACAGGCTTTGTAACTACAGAGAGCTACATTCCAGTCATGGTTCTGAAACTCCTCACCTCTCTATTTATGGGCAAGTTAGTTAAGCTGAGCCTCTGTTTGTCCATCTGTAAAATGGGGCAATAATAATTCCCATTCTTATAAGGACTGTAGGGGTGAATGTATGAAAAGCATTTAGCAGAGTGCCTAGTTCATATTACTTCTTGAAAAATGATAGCAACTATTGTTAGCGAAAATGGTCACTTCTGGTTGGAAAAATTTCTTAATCCTTCAAGTAGAATTAGCCATCCCCTCAGCTATGACTCCTCAGCGCCCCATATCTTTCACAGAACATAAAATATCTAAGCAAGTTCAGCTGGTTCTAAGTCTATCTCTCTCGACAACATTAAAGTACTCTGAGGGTATGATTTTTCTTTAAATCTCTAGTAACTGGCCCAGGGGAAGTACCCTGTAATTGAAGAATAAAAGCAAAAAAGAATATAACACAGTGCCTTTGTTATAGGAATAAACGTGAGAGTTGAAATAAGCTGGTAACAGGTGAGCTAAGAGAGCAGTTTTTGGTTTTCCATCTAAGAAATTTTGAATGCATTCCCTGGTTGGGGCAGGGGAGAGGAAGAGGGGTGAGGGGTTCTTGTCCAGGTCTGTAAATGGACATTTCTGTAATCCACTGTGGCCCCAGCTGGTCCTGGTTTGTCTCGCACAAAGAGATGTATAATTTAGCAGCGACTGATGCTGGTCACTGTTCTGAGCTGGAGTAGAGAGGGCTCACTACTTATAATGCTAAAAAAATAAAAATGAAAAACTTTCCAGAGCATATATTTCTTTCAGTATTTCTTAATAAAGTTACCAAAGATTAACTCCTGAAGTTCTTATGTATGTTTTCATCACCAGGTCTCAGCCCTTTATCTGGTGAAATTGGATACAAAAGTGTAGATGGCAGAGGGTCTCAGAAACTTTACAAAACTTGTCTGCAGGGTCTTAATTACTTTAATATTTTTAATAACTCTAGATGTAGGTATATTAGGAATGATGGATTCTTATTTGAGAGAAAAGGTCTGCAGTGTCTTCACAGATATGGACTTTAATTATGCTAGCCAGAGGAAATAATTCACCTGCTAAGAAATGATACTAGGCTCTGTGCAAAAGTAAACTAGGATTTTTTTTTTCTTTTTTCTTTTTTTTCCCGTTGGAGGATCTGGATTACAAATGCAGTGCAGTAATGCAGTTGTCATAAACGTGCTTTGAAATGACATTAACTGATTGCTCCTATCATATCAACAGCCTGAGTTAAAAGCTCCTAAGGGAATTTAACTTTAAACATAAAGCCTGTTGGAGGAATGACAAAAAAGCAGCCCTCGCTGATTAAATTTAAATTTACAATAGGAACATGGCTGAAACCCAGCTTCCACCGGCTTGCTGGAAGAAATACATTGCTGAGAAGATTTTAGCCTAAAGACTAAACAAATATTGAGCCTGTGTAATTCACCACCTCCTTTTGCTCATTACCACCCGGCAACAAGGTGCCTACCCCTTTCCCTTCTCCAAACTTGGAATTTTCCAGAGGGAAAAGGCTGAAATCGGATCCAGGGAAAAGGGATTCGTTTGTAGAACTCTTAAATGTCAAATGGCAGTACTGAATGAATGGGTAGCGGATCCTGTTCGCTGTAGCAGCCCTAAAATAGGTTCCCTGCGCTGGTGGCCCGGAACAGGCATCATATTTAGCTTAGGGCCTCTCGGGCCAGATCAGACCCTGCGAGGTGGTTACTCCCAAAAGCTGGACGCTGGGAAGGTCACAGGCCAAGACTCACTCACCTGCCTTGCCCAGTCTCACCCTTAAGAGGGCTGCCTGGGGTACGCCCTGCCTATTCCTACCCAAGCAAATCACCCACGCTCCTACACCCTCTTCCCCACCCTTTGCCGGCGAGGGCTGAGGGACCCTGGCCCAGGGTCAAGTCCGTGGCATGTGGCCAGCCGCGCGCCAAGTATTAATAGAGAGCCGCGGGCTGCAGGAGGCTGGCACTGGAGCCTCGGAAGGCGGAGTGAAAGGAGCGCCGAGCGCGCGGCCTCGGCCCTCCCCCTGCAGCGGCGCGCGCCCAGCGGCTGCCGGGTGCACCTGCGGGTCCCCAAGGGGGGCGCTGCCTCAGCAACCGCAGCCGCCGCCTAGACTGCGGGAGCCGCGCCCGGGGGCAGCCCGGAGTGGGGGAGCAGCGATGAGCAGCGACCCGGACCGCGAGTGCCCGGTAGACGGTAACGACTCGCTTCGGCGGGGCTGCATTTTTAGTCCTTAATCGCCCCCCACGCGGGTTTGAATCTCCCGGGTGCTGGTTGACCGAGGGGACGAGGAGGAGGGTTATTTCCTCGTAAGGCGGCTGGGGTGGGTAGGAAGTCCCCAACGTCATGGATTTTTGCACCCTTTTCTACAACTTTTAGGGTTACTTTTAGAATTAAACCAGCTTTACAAAGCGCGGAGAACTGCGCCTGGAACATACTGGGCACTGAGCGGGCTTGTTAAATAAAACGCACATTGAGATTTCACTGCTCGGCGCGCTGCTGCGGGTACCCTTAGGCAGAGTGGAAGTACCTTCCCTGAAAGAAAGATGATTTTGCTTCTACTATGGGACATGCACAGCATCACCCCCACGCTCCCGCCTCCGCCCCGCTACTCTACCAACAGGCGTTTTTTAAGAGGCTACCTTGATCTCACAGAGTGAGTGATGCCCTAATGTACTTCGGATTGGCGCTTGAGGGTGGGAGACCCGGATGTTAGTTGTTTAAAGAAGGCATTGTGCAGCAGAAGTCCCCAAACTGACTTTGTAACTCAGGTGTCACTCAGTTCCATTGTGAACTAATGGTTACCAGCTTTTACGAGGGAAAGGTCTCAGATTGCTTTGAACGTGTGATGAAATACTCTGAACCCTTTTCCCGTCAAAAGTCATCTATATATACAAGTTTGAATGTTTGCTGAAGATTTTAAGCTAGACCCTTTAACTGCCTCTGTGTACCCCCTGGTTAAGAACCCCTGCTTTGAAAGGTAATTATTATTGCTACTCAGGCATTTTCGCTAACTAGTTAATTGTTGACCTTTTAGGAGGAGGGCTCCTCCAGGAATAACTCATCTTTGCATCAATAACCCTTTCGAATGTACTGAACACTGTTTAATGAAGCTGCGTTAAGCTGAAATTCTCTGGGGTCTGGGGCTCAATAGGTGTCTCAGGTACACCGGCCTGGGTTCCCTGCGGATCAACCATTTTCAGGGCGGGGAATTTTGCATAGTAGTTGGCAAGGCAAGAACCACTGCGCCGCAGGAACCATTTCATTCCTTCCTTTGACAGTCTCAAGGAAAGTTCCAGCATAATTGCCCCGGATCCTATTTAAAAAATATTTTTTAATAGTTGCATTGTTATTGTTTTCATTTATATGGCATAAACAACTGGCACTTTAAACTGCTGCAGCTTTCTGTAAAACTATTACTTTTGTGTTTCTAGGTCTGCACACACTGGAATTGAACACATTTGGCTCTTTGAGAACTGATTGAAAAGTATAAATTAGATTGTTGATGTAAAAAATCCTAATAATATGGCAGGATTCTTCATGTGAGGCAAGGATGGGCAGGATAATTGTATCTGACCACCGTACCCTGCACTGTTTTGTTCATTTTGTTTTGTTTTGAACTTTAATTCTTGTTTTAGAGCGACACACCCTTTAGAACTCTGATGGAAACTTAGGGAAAAAAGTATCCATTCCTCCTAAATTAAGCATGTGTCCTTGCAACCAGGCATGTCTGTAGCTTGTAATGACTTCAATAGCTGCCATATATGAACAGTGAAGTGTGAGGTCAAACCTTAAATCTGAATTCCAGAGGACACCGGAAGGCTTAGGCTGCTATTTGGTTACCTTAGCGGGTGATAAGGTGATAACATGCTTAATAACACTTAATTGTGCCAAATGCTTGCTGTGATATATTAAAAGAGTACAGGATATGTATCTGTCAGACTTAGTAAATTTCCAAGTATCTACGACAAGATCATGCAAGGTGAAATTTGATGAGTGTGTTAAACGATATGCCTGTTACAGACCTATATGTTATGGAAGAACGTCATAGGGAATCCTGTTGCAGATAAAGAATTCTTATTCTACTCTGTATGCTTTGATGTGATGTATGATCTTGCCATAGTACATCCAAGAGAAGTTTAGGCAATACATTGCATCAGATTATTTTAATTCCATTAAAAATAAAGACTATTTTGGACTCGAATAGTATTTTCCCCTATGGTTTGAAATAATAACACAAACCCTCCACATAATTCAGCCTGCAAAGTCATGTTTTTTTGTTTTTTTAATTCAGCTTTGATTCTTGTTGAAACACTTTTAAAATGAAAGCAAATTTCAAGCTTTAATGGGAGGGGCCAGAATTTTTATTTCTGTTTTTTTCTGGTACATTGTAGTAAAATTGAAACCATGATCTTCAGCAACAAAATTTCTGGGTAATTTTTTCTTTGCCCTCTCTTTATCTCTCCTTTTTCTTTCTTCCTGTAATCTTTTCACTCTTTATTTACTCTTTGTTATCGTTATTGAAATGAAACCCACTGCAGGGAAAATTCATCACCCAGTGGATAATCTCTCGTTTAGGATAAGAAGTGCTAATATTTATTGAACACGTACTGTCTGCTGTGCTGAGCTAGAAGAACGATTTTATCTCACCCTCATTAACAAGTCAATGGGAGGGGAACTACTATTGGCTGCTTTTTTTTTTTTTTTGAGAAAACTGAGGCTTTGAGAGGGTGACTGTCAGCTATGAGCCTTCAACCCAGTGCTCTAACTCCAGAGCCCACCCGTTTAACACCAAACCCAGGGCCCATGCTGCCTCCTGCTGGGCCACCATGTTGAATGTCCACAAGTGACCTGGAGCAGCATCCTTCACCTGCCTCCTGAGGGATCCCTAAAGAATGCTGGAGTGGCTGTGGAATGTGTCTCTAAGCTCAATGAAATGACACCTGCATTCTTTCCTCTTCCTTTCGGGTGGGAAAGATGGAAGGAAAGCCTGTCAGTCTTCAGAAGTCCACACTAATGGCAAGGTTGGATGTGGCAGTCCTGCAGAGGCAGCTCATACCGGCCCTCTCGCCAGGATAGGGACATGAGCTTTGCCCGTGCGGCAGGGACACTTTGGTTGCTAGGAATGAAAGGCAGCTTGACCTTTCTGAGGGAAAATGGCAGTGCCCCATGGGGCACACTCTCTAACAGCTGTTTTCTCGGAGCAGGTTTACCCATCACATTCCTCTTAGGCCAAGGCAGATGGGTCCATTTTGGAAGGTGGTGCCTGGGAGCAGACAGACCCACAGTGGACCACAGCTGTCTCTCTGGGTAACTGCGGAACAGCGGAAGGAGAAGAGTGAATAGCAAATACTCTAGCCTACAGCCTGCTCCAACTGTGTATCTCTGGATACATAACTTAACCTCTGTGAATCTCAGTTTCTTCATTTGTAAAGTGAGGATAACAACAACCACTGTTTAGAGTTATTGTGAGGAGTAGAATAATATACAGTGTCTGGCAGATAGTAGACTCCATCAATAAACTGATCATATTCAGAAAATTGGATGTAGAGGTTAATGAGGTAATTGGAAAGTGTTTTAGCACCAGGCAACTTTACAGAAAGATAGCCCAGGGTGACATTCATTCAACTGCACAATGCTGCAGAGCGCGATTTACCTATTGATGCAGAAGTCTGTCAGATGTGTGATCAGCCACACACTCCGAATGTTTTGTCTTCTGCTGCTGTGTCTTTGCAATTTGGGCTTTCATTTTTAGGAAAGACTGAGGAAAAGTTAATTTATATATGAAAACAGAAGACTGAGTTAAGAGTTCAGGTGATCGGTGGGAAAGTGATTTTCAGAAAGCAATTTAGTCAATGGCATAGTGGAGTTACCCTCACAATTCACTTCAAGATTTCTATCCTTACTCACTGATATTTCTAGTGTAATTTGGTAAACCCCATATTGCCCATATCACAGCACTTTTCAAAGTGTTTTGTAGTTGTTTGTTTATGTCTCTGTTTTTTGCATGAGATCAATGAGTGTATGGACCACATCTTTCTATTTACTGGATCCCCAGCATCTAGCAAAGTGCCTGGCACATAGTAGGTACATATATTCAACATATATTTGTTGAATAAATGGATGCATGAATGAAAAAGAGTGATGGGAGGTAACAATGCATGATTTCTGAAATACTTTAATCCTTGTTGCTTTTGCATTTGTTTTGAATTCATATTCCCTTTTTTCTCCTCAGGGTTATTTACAATAGTGAAAATTTGCAAGTATTTACATGTCAATCAATAGGGCATTATTTAAAACATATAAATACACTTTAGCTGGATGACTTAAATAAATTATGATTGGCTATAGAATATATGTGAAGGCATTCCATTTTTGGAAAATGATTACATATTGCAAGATGATCTAGGTGGATAGATAACAAAGGATTAATAGGTGTTGCCTCTAGGTAGATGGGGTTATGGATATCCTTTAAATTATTTTTTGCTTGTTTATCTTTCTGATCTTATGTAATGAACTTGCTTTCTTTTATAAGGATTAGGAAACAATACAAGAAATATGTATCATAGATCACTTACACAGCACCACCCAATCCCCTGTCACTGGACACCTAGCTTGTCTTCTCAACTAATTTTCCAGATTTGCCCTCCTAACTCTTTTTGAACATTTAGATAATTTCCAGCTTCTCAGGGTTATAAAGTAGCATCATTCATTTAAAAGAGATGAGAAATTGAAAAGGAAACTCAAAGTAGAAAACAAAAGCCAGCTCAAAGCAAATGAGGAAGGATATTAATTTTCCAACCTGTTGCCATGTGGAATGCATTGCTTTGCTGCTAAGTATAGTTAAGCTAACCTATGGTCTCCCCTCTGCCCTTGGCTTTCTCTGCTTTGTTATGTAAAAATATTATGACAGTTCATGAATACCCAATTTGTAAGTGTTCCCTAATTGTTTTGTGTGTGCACTTGAGGAGCTTCCAATGTGGCTACTGTTGAGTGTCCTTTGTTTCAGTTACCTCCAGAAACAAGAATAGGGTGGCTTCTTCCCATCAAAAGAAAAAAAAATCAGCATTATTTGGGAATAGAGGTGTGAATGAGTAACCTTTAATCTTACATGTTTATATACTTTGCAGAAATTATACTGCTTCTACACCCTTCCTGGGAACATCATGATATTGTTTCTTTCTAAGATCCCCTTG